AAAAAAAAAAAAGGGGGTTGGCCCCCCCCCCCCCCCCCCGCCGCCCCCGTACAACACCCAGCCCAACTGCTCTTCTCACGAGTCTGATGACGTAGTAACCGCCACGCACGAAGCGAACAAGCAGAGGATGAAGATGGGTGCCTAAACCATGTCAGAACAAACACAAGCACTGCCCACGCGAATGGAAAGGCAATCGAGCAATCGCCGGTTACCGACGGGTTGCACCCCTGTCACCTTCTTGGTCAGACGGAGGTGGTGCTCTTCTACTTAGTTTAGTCTCACGACAACAAGTGCGCGGTAGCCGCCGCTAAGTACTACCACGGCGCAAATGTTCGATATGTACCATATCCCTAGCTCGGTTTCGTCGAACACCCCCACTTCCGCTGTGTGCCTACACAAACACAACAATTCGACCGGTGTATAGGGCACTCACTGACTTTGTCTAACAAACCCAGAAATTCGCGGCAGAAAGTCTCCATGAAAGGCTTGTGCAAGGCGCGAACAACATGCGGGTCCATTTTGGGATCCTCCGCAAAACTAATGCAAAAGCTAATGGACACAAAGACGGTGTGTGGACGGGAGCGGCGGGGGTCATTGTCACCTCACCACAAGAATATCCTCACTGCTATATACACCAACGCGACACCACCCGGTCAAGATAGTGCCTCTCCTAGCAGCTTGTCCAAGTCCCCGGGTGCCGCGCGCCGCTCATGGCTGCGTTACACGTAGCGTCAAATAAATACGCCGGTGTTGTTGCTCGTGGCCATCGACGCCACCCGGCGGAACATCTCTACCAACCCCACCGTGCGGGAGGCGAGGATGCTTTCTCTTCGCTCCTCCACGTGCTCCGCCACCATGCGGCAGGAACCCGCGTTTTTGAAGCTCAGCACCTATCCGGCCATGGGCAAAAGACACGGGGGGGTGAGGTAAGACTTTGGCCGTTCACAAGAGGTGGTGGCGGGAGGTTCTTCTTGCAAACTTTTCGCACGCACGTTGCACTGCTGCGGGTGGAGTTTTCCCGGTTTTACAGCTCAAACGGACCGCGGTGAACTTGGCACAAATCAACAAATCAACAACGCCATGAAATGACTACACAAGACTTCTCACCGATGTACCTATAGAATAGCAGTGAGCTGTCGCATGAGGGCGGCAGCGAGGCAGACCATCCAAAACTGTTCGTCCAAAGCCACGACAACGACGCCTAAAAAGCACCACACTTCAACACAAACATCAACCCGAAGCGATACAACAACCAAGGGCGGTGGCGGCGGCCTCACGCCTCAATCAAAAAGCAAGCGCGCGAATTAGCCTCTCGAAAACCCTCCCTCTTACCAGGTGCCAAGCCCCCAAGTACCCCGCCCCCGTGAAGCCTGCGGCTCCGCCCCCATCACCGGTCCCCGCCGCCCCCCCGGGGACGGGCAGAAACAGCCCCGGTCCGCCCGTCGACCCCATCTGCGCCTCCTCCCTCGTGGAAACCTTTAGCTCTAGGACGCGGGGGTTCGTCGGGTGTATCTTTGCCGTGGCGTTCTTGAGCGGGGCGACGCAGAGGAGGAGGCCGCCGTGTAGGGGGGAGTACGGCGGGTCCGGCACAACGACCATGAAGTTTTGCTCGTCAAGGATAACGCACAGCTCGTCGGGGGCCGGGTCGTGCGGGGAGAACTGATGTTGTTGTTGTTGTCGTCGTCGGCGTTGTTGGCTGCTGTCGCCGCTACCAGGGCTGGGTCCGCCCCCGTTCGTTGGTGACGCTGCTGTTCCTGTCCAGAGAGCGGGGCCGTAAAGAAGGCCGCTAAACATGCCGCCACCGCCGCCGTTAACCCTCCCGCTATTGCTGCCGCCTCCGTTCTGCGTCGGCACCGGCGTAGGCGGAGCAGTAGCAGCTGCGGCGCTCCTCCTCTTCCTCGCAGCCGCCGCGGCGGTCGAGACTCTGGTGGCCGAGGCCGGAGGCTCCGCGGCCATCGTCCCCGGCCAGTTGAACGGCAAGCAGCAGGCCAGGCAGAGCTTGCCCGAGAGCTCCACCCGCCCGCCGGGCCTCGGCGGCGCTGTCGCGCCTCCGCTTGTCCGGCTGGCGCTATCGCTCCCGCTCCTGCTCCTCGGAAAATAGGCCGTCTCCTCCTCTCGCCCGCTGTTCGCATGCTTCGAGGGGTCCCTGTCAGCATCCTCCAGCAAAACGCCAACGCTCTGCCCATCATCGGCATCATCGATGACCCCTACCAGAGCTAGAAACTCCTTATCCACTCGAACACTCCCCACTACAAAAGATGTTGCCGGTTGTGGTGGCGGCGGTGGCGGTGGCGGCGGCGGCGGCGGTGGTGGCGGTGGTCTTCTGGTCGATGCGCCCGGTGGTGGGAAACAGATCGGAGACGAAGCCGCATCCGCGATTGCGGTCGCCGTGCCGTCATCTGAAGGCGGGCCCTCTCCCACCAGCCACTGATGCAACGAGCGGAGGGCGAGAAAGTTCTGGCAGGAACGGCGGCGGTCGTCGTGAGGGACAGCGGGCAGCAGAGCAGACGGGGCACAGCAGGTAGGATGCGTTAGTGAAGGGAGGAGCTACCATGTCTTGAGAAAAGAACAAACTTCGCGGTCATCCCGAAATCGCGCTAGCGAACGTGTTGGATCTGTTTGCCGAGTGTGGGCGGGGTGCGAGCACGCCAGGGAAGATATGCTATCCACGACAAGCAACGGCGTCGAGGAAAGGGAAGATGGCGCTAATTTCACACGTGCCGGGTGCAGTCGGCGTCTGCAGCCATCACAACCTGGTAGCACAAGCCCAACTTTGTGCCGGTCAACAGACTACTTGACGCCTCCCAAGCATCAGATCCTCATGCTGCCGAGAACCGGGACGGGTAGGTGGCGCGAGACATTCCTACACACCTGCACGCGAAACGCTCGCAAATCGCCCTCCTCGCTGCCGGCAACCCTCCTCTTGGGAAACCCGCCGCCCCAGCCGACCCCACGGGTCGCCGCCTCTTCCCCGCCCAGCAGCAGCCCGGCACCCGCGACGTCCTTGAGGCGAGGAGGGGGGGACGACAAACACGCGTCCCCCCCGTCTGGGTCGACCTCTTCGTCGCCTGCAAGGAGTTCCACCGCGTGCTCACAGGCGGCCAGGAGCTCGAAGGGGTTAAGCCGCGTCGTGGCGCTGAGGACAACCTCTGCTTCCGCCGACAGACAAAGAGCAGATGAGGTAGCGGCAAGTCAGGCCACTGCGGCACAAAAAGTAGAGGCAAGGAAGGCTTGTAGGCAGACGATCCACGCGGAGCTACACACGCGAAACGGGGGTTCAGATGTTGCCCCCCCCCCCAGGTCATCGGTGATCGATCCTGAGGGAACAAAGCTCCGTCCTCTCGAGGACGCGTGGTCAATATTCTAACCGCCAAACCACGCAAAAATGAGAGTACGCCCCCCCCATCCCCTTGACTCACCCGCAGATCGGGCGTACACGTCCGTCAACATGACCGCATACTTCATGGTGTGCCGAGTGCTGCCAGGAGCCCAAAACCCCCCGGGGGGCAACGGGTGAGTGGCCGCAGGGTCACCGCCGACGTCCGCGATGCTGTAGTCCCTTGCAACGATTTCGCCGCCATTGCTGACGCCCGTACCGCCGCCGCCGCCGCCGCTGCCTCTCCTGCGACTCGAAGAGGACACGCGGAGGGCAGAAAGCTCCTCCATGACGGCGACGGCGGTTCGAACGGCCACCATGTCGGCCGCGGGTGGCTCGGTGAGAGCCTCGAGCAAGCACGCCATCACCTGGTTGTCGGGAGGAAAAGCACAAGGGGTCGAGGAAAGATCCGGGAAAACAACGGGCAGACGACCAGAAAAACAAAAATAAACAGGATGAAAAAAAAAATAATAGCGAACGAAAACTCGACCCCGACACAGGGGCAGTGAGTGGACACCCTCCATCTAGACCTTCTACGATGTGTAGCTCGGAGGGTAACCTCGTCCCCGCACTCCGGACACGAAGTAGCAAGCACATTTCTCAACAGCTGATGCCGGAGCACGAGAGGAACAGCATCAAGCAGCCAGCTGCGAGACGAAAGATGCAACGTCGTCATCCTGTACAACACTTCTTGGTCGGTCAATCGGTAAGCGGAGATTACCTCGTCGCGCTATTCAGGACAAGGCATAGGTAGCGGTAACGCTTAAGCGGCAGACAACCCCCCCGCTCCGCCGGTGATTCAGCGCCTTGAGAGGAGTGCGCCGTAGAATGCATGCATAGCAGCGTATCGGTGCACCAGCGTGTGAGAGACACATGTTTCCATCCCTACGTAGAGCAGCGGTTGGTTCTACAGCCGGTAACCGCGCCCCCGCCCCTACCTCTCACCTGTTCGAAGCACCCAGGACTTTTACGCCCACCGGCAGAGGCCGTCGTCCCATTGCTGCCGCCGCCGCCGCCACCCCTCGTTCCACCATTCCACGACATGGTCGTCCCAACGGCCCGTCTACTACCCTCCGCCTGCTGCGCCGGCGCCCCCTCCAGCAAGATGTCGGCCACCGTCGGCGAGGGGTTCCTCGCGGCGCTCCACAAGACGGCCGTGGCAGCGAGCCGCACCTGCGCCCCCTCCCCCCCCCGTTCCCCCGCGTGGCGTCGACGCCTTCGCCGCCTGACGCAAGCCAGCAGGGACTTTCGGTAGCGGTCCACCCCTGCTTGATCCTCGGATTCTCGCTCGCTATCGGCGGCGTCCCCCGCCTGCCCCGCCGGCACGTGCCCCTGCGCTGCTGTTGCGCACGAGTGCTGCCGCGACCTTCTTCTCGAGTCGACTGCTGTTGTCGCGGCGGCGTTGCTCGTCGCCGCTCGGATTCTGCTAGGGCTAACGTTGTTGCTAGGGCTAGCGTTGTCTCCTGCTTGTCCTCGTCGATGTCGTCCGAAAAGCTCGCCCGCCACGAGGACGAGAAGTGGGCCGTCCGTGGCCAGCATGAACAGCTGGCACAGCGCGTACAGAGCCAGCTGGAGCTGACATTCCCGGGGGCCGGCAAGACAAAGGAGAGATGGTGATGTATGTCCACGGACGGGTCAACGGTCGGACGAACAATGGACGGGGCGAAGATGATGTTAGAGCGGGGGGCGGGTGCAAGTAAATCATGCGAAAGGAGAGGGCATTGCCGCCATCCCACCAGGTACAGAGACGTTCGGGAAAATCATACACCAAGCTTGGCGTCGGCATAAAACGCTGCCGCTATCGAGAGCCCGAAGGGGCCCTCAAGAGGTAGACCCCAAAACGAAAATGGCTGTCAAATTGCAGCCGAACAACGACTCGGAGGGGTCGATCGGCCATGTTTCGACCCTGGACGTGAAGACCTCTCCACCAAAAACGACATGATCTGGAGCGTGCGGCACATTTTGGTAGCCTTCACCTCATCCACCACTCAACCAAGAAACCAGCCGTCGCGTCTTGTTTTTGCTCTCTCACTTCTTTCATCTCAGCACACCCACACACAGAGAGGCACAGGGCACGCAACTCCCTATCGGACCAACACAGCGACGACTCGGCTGACGACAGTCAGCAAACCCCTAGCCCGGCATCGGGCAGAGCAGGGCAGCCAAAAACGAGGTCATACATAGGCAATCAATCTAGCTCCGCAACGCGTTCCCGGGGGCGTGTGTGCAAGCACGCCAAGAGCAGCCCATTAATAGTAACCCACACACCATACCCAACACCAGAACGTTAGACTACCCACGAAGACCAGCCCATCCAACACCCACCTCAGACTCTCTCTCTTCCGCCATCGCCTCTTCCTCCTCCCCATCATCTCCCACCGTACAAGGGACATGCGTCTCCACCTCAGCCTCCATGGAATCCGCTAGCGCCCCGAGAACAACGGGCCTGAAAAAGTGGCGGTGGAGGTGTTGCGCCAGCTTCTCGGAAAGAAGGGAATCCCCTACACTGAGGACGTCCTGGATAGGAAAAGCGCACAGGAGAGGAGAGCGTGGTGGGGGGGTGTACTGCTGTACTCTGGTGTTGTGGTTTGGGTGGGGCTATTTATTTGCCAAATAAATGGGCCTTATGTATTTACATGTGTATCCATCCGAATGACCTCTATGTGTCAAAAACAGAGTTGGTAGCAATCAAGACAATCAAACTGCCCTCGACTAGCGCGTGCCTTACCGTCGTAACAATGCCTCAATTATTGCACCACATGAGAAAAGGAAGCAAGAGACATGCCCCGTGCGCACGACGAGCGAAATGATTACTTCCCACACCGCGAACGAACTGCTTTCATCGTGGTTTGGTCTACCAAAAGCGGCGGACAAGAGAGCTTCATGCCGTACGAATGCTTGTGCGGCACAAAGAGCGTCCTCACCTGCACGTAGTACAACATGTCCTGGAAGAAGCTGGTTGCTCCGTCGATCGCCGTGGTTTCGCCCGAGCTTGATGGCTCCACGTCTTGCCACATCTTAGAAAACGGGCAGGCGCGCGCGCGCGCGCGCGGGGGGGGGGGTGTACTCATAGTCGTGCATGCCGTAGTCGTTTGACCATTGACCTCGCATCCCTACAAAGCCGGGACGGAGCACGCCGGGTTCTCACCGGACCAGGCTCTCACATCACCAAGCGCGAAGCGCCGTGAGGTATTTGGCGAGTCGCATGAAGGGTGAGCTGCATCCTGCTAAGGGTGTTCGGCATCTTGTGCTTACTTCCTTGCGTACGGATGACAGCTACGTATGACTTAATTTATTTTCTGGTGCTTTCACTTCCAGAGACAGTTGTAAGCACTGTGTAACTGCCTCGAGGAAGCTTGACCATTTTAACACAACGTGGTGCGATCATCCCCCGTTGCGCGGAGTGAGGGTTCTCGACCCCGCACAACATGATCTACTCGACCACCATTATGGTTACCGCCAAAAAAAAAAAACGAGGTAAAAAAAAAAAAACGGTAACCTGGTTGTCGAGTTCACGAAGTGAATTGGCTTGTTTTACAACGTCGTTGCCAAGCGACGAAAACCCAATCCCGATGGCAAACACCGAGTGGGGGGCTTGTTTTACAACGTCGTTGCCAAGCGACGAAAACCCAAACCCCGATGGCAAACACCGGGGGGGGCGGCTTGTTTTACAACGTCGTTGCCAAGCGACGAAAACCCAACCCCGATGGCAAACACCGAGGGGGGGGGCGGGGGGGGGGGGGTAAGTCTAAGTCATTAAATAGACGACCGTTGGGCGCTGACCACGTAAAACAGATAACAACTTGCGCTACAACACATGCAAAGTAAGTAATGGACCGGTGGCAAACGGTTCGTGTTTCAGTCTGCCTCGCAAAACATGCAGCGAACGCATTGGTCGAGAACATGATCCCGGACGAAACATTTTCCGCGCCGCCGCCCATGAACCATCCCCTGGCATCCCCCACGACCGTTTTCGCCTCCCCTGCCCCGGCCTTGTCTTGCCTCCCCCCCTTCTCTTACCCTGCAGAGGACCTGGGAGTACGCGTCCTGCATGAGGCGCGACAGCTGGTCGAAGAAGCCGATGTGGTTCTCCTCGCGGGTGAGGAAGGCGGTAACGCCGGGGTCCTTCACGGAGAACACTTGCAGGGCGATGCTTAGCGCGGAGGTCCGGACCTGCGCGTGCATCACGACCGAAGGGTGCAGTGCCAACCCGGAAGAAGAGCAACAACGGGCAGTAAGGATAAACGAGGGAGAAAAGAAACGTGGTGTGCAGCGGCCGAGGGTGGGCTGAACGCAATGATCCTGGTACCCGGGAGCAAAGGACACTTCGCATTCGCAACGTTTTATGTCCAACAACCTTCAAACAGAACTCGCAATGGTGCTCGGCAGGCTTTCAAACTTGCCGACCCATGTCTTCGATGAAAAAAGCACGTTGTTCGTCCGCACGAGAGGGTGATTCGTGAGGGAGGGGGCGCAATCCCAAAATCGTTCTCTCAGCTAGCTCACAAGACCCCAGAATTTTCTTGTCCAAGGCCTACACACGCCTCGAACGCTCAGTTAAGTTCCAGGTTCCCCAGCCCGGAACAAGTTGGGCGGCCCAAGTTTTTTGCACCACGTGAACTGGTTCTACACAGAGACCGCGGGGATACCGCGTCTTACGGGATCGTGGCGCTAAAAAAAAGGCGACCGCGTGTTATGCAGATAGCGCCCGCACTGAAGAACTTGGCAGTTACGAAATTGATATAGCCTAAAAAAACTCAAAATCTGGGAATTTGAGCACCATTTGTGAGCCCGGTCAAGAACCCCTAGAATTAGAAACGTATATAAGCTGCCATTTGTAGCCCACGAGAGGAAAGAAGAACCCCAGCCTCGGCCAAAACTATTGGTTATTAAGTGCGGGCACTATCCGTGTGTATTCATGGAATTTCTGGTTCTTCGTGTCGGCTTGTTTGCATACAGCGGTCTCGTGGGGGGGGGGGAAATCGACTTGAAAGTGTCAAGTATTTACCATTGGGTCCGGGTGCCCGATGAGCGGGATCGATCGCGAGTAGAGCGGGAAGCTTCCTTTCGTGGTGTTGAGAAAAAAAGGGACCTGTGGTTTTGTTGTGGAACCACAAGAGGGAGGAACGAACGCGTGCGTGCGAGAGAGGGGGGAGGGGGGAGCACGAGAGCGACAGAGAATAAGAGAGGGAGAGAGAGATAGAGAGAGATAGAGAGAGAGAGACAGAGAGAGACAGAGAGAGAGAGAGAGAGACAGAGAGACAGAGAGACACACACACAGAGAGAGACAGAGAGAAACAAAGAAAGAGACACAGAGACGGAGAGAGAGAAAAAGAGAGAGATGGAGATGAGGGTTCATGGGCCCAAACAAAGCTTTAGGAGCAAGCACTTCGCGCAATCAGTCCCTCGGGCTTCGTGGGGTCAGCAGCAGCACCTGCGCCAACAAGCCTCGAAACGCACGCACCGTCTCCTTGCTCAGGCGGATCGCGATGGCCTTGAGCAGAGCTATGTAGTTCGTCAGGAACTCCTCGTCGTCGAGAGGTAGTTCCGCCGCACCTCCCTCCGGCTGCATGAGCCTGTTGATGTGGTCCGACGAGAGCAGCATGTAGAGCGACGTGGGGCTGCGCAGGTTTTGAAACAGGACCGAAACCCCCTGGACGACCTGCGTTGGTACATTTTTCCGGCAGGGGGAAGGGGTTCTCCGTTAGCGCGTGACAAAATGTATCTTGCCGTAACGGCACGGAGTTTACCGTTGCAGCTAAACGCTGGCCACAAGGCACGCCTCAGGGAGAAGGCGTAGTTCCACCACCTGCAATCGGTATTTGCTGGCATGCATCAGTTGATTATATTCGGGGGGACGGGGTCGAGGATCAAAGGCGACGGTTCACCACTCTAGGGTAAAGATTGCTTGGGCCTTGCTCTGCGCCCTGGGTGTTGGTGTGTTGAGGTGTGCCTGCTGCATCACCGCACGGTTGGTCACCTGAGTCTTGACCGCCGGTCCCAGGCGGAGGGCTTTGACGAAAAGCGCCATGGTGGATTTCTCGCAGAAAAACTCGAAGTACTCTGGCCCCTCGCCGGCCTCCCCAAACGCCACCTGGCCACGGCCAAGCAACGACGGACGGAAGGGTTGGTCGCTCGTGCTGATCGCATGAACTTACCGGCTACCCTCCTCTATCGGATATATCCAAGACGCTGCCCGTAGCACAGCACATGTTCTTTGGTGTTTGTGAATCAGGTACAGCAGTCGTGGGCCTTCTACAGGTCGGGCGGCCGGTAAAGAACGGGAGAAATCTGTTGGCGCAGGTATGACTAATCACATCACGTTGTGCGGTGCTTTGAGAACTGTACGGCGTGTCCCCGCTTATGTAAGGGAGGGTGAATCATCGGCTGGCACATATATACATATGTGCCCTGCCTGGTGTTCAGCGGTAGCGGTGCTACACAGAGGGCCCGCGGCTGCTGTGCAGCTGTCGGTACGAACATTGTTATCAATATCAAAACTCTCCTGCACATTGTGCTCGTGCAGTACAGCAAGAGGGAAGAGCATTGTGCTGTACTGCTGTGCGATATCTTCCCCCGTGAGTGTGTGACAAAACCACCGTCATCGTCAACACACACTACAACGCGACCCCGAGAATCTGAATCTGGTCACACCCATCAACGCGCGTACGTTGAAAAAACATGTGTATGCGGGGAAAATGGGTCCCTCTGTGTGTGCAGTCTGCATTTAGCTGTGGAGTGCGTCGTTCCTCACCAGTTCGGAAATGGAGCGGAGCACTTCGATCAGCCTGAGCTCCTGCCTCGCAGTAAGAGAGACGCCATCGGCAGAGTCCAGCAGAGGCACTAGCTCCTGGTGCAGAGTACGAAGGTGGTCGATGGAGAGATACTTCGGCGGCGTGTGCACTCCGGTTTCGCTTCCCATGAGCCTGCCACGGAGCGGCTGAAGAACCCGACCTGCTACCCCTGTGCCGACCCCGGCTCGCCCCATTAATGAATCCATTCGCTCTTACATTGACTGCTGCCGCTACCCACGCCGACAGAGGTAGTTCTTTCTCCTGCCTGCGCCCTGTTTGTGTGATGTTCCCACGTACGCTCGCAGTGGTTGCACCCCCCCCCCTACTGCTTGGGGGCACCGTGAAATCCAAAGAGTTTACTCACAGCAGGACAAAATATAAAAAAAAAAAAGCGAGACAAAGAGACGCTGGTTTCTCCGCGGGTATGTTTCCCAGACCAGGGAGTTATCGAGCTGGCCTCTGTCCGGCAGCCGGTAGGACGCGAACGTCGTTCGTTCGTCCACTGCCAACCTCTTGAAGGAATCAGAACTGGGATATTCAACATTTATTTTCTGGTTGATGATCAGTCAATCGCTTCACCTCAGTCAGTCAGGATGATGGTACTCTCCCAACATCGTGTGCATGGTGAGTACAGCAGTACTCATGTTTGGTTGTTTTCCTACAGATGACGAACTGCATTTTTCATTTTTCAGATACCGTAGGGGGCCCGCTGTATGGCCGCATAGTGTCACGAGACTAAACCGGCCTTATTGAGGGCACCTGGCCTTCCTTACATAGAAACGGCCATATGTATACAATCCTCTATGATTACACGGATTCGTCTTCACATTATTAAGGCCGGTAAAAGCCGGTACCGGCCTTCCGTATAGCAGACCCGTCCGTGCGCCTACCGTACTGTAGGCCATACGAAGCGGATGCGTTTGAATCGGTGCTTTGCTATCACGTTCATTCCATGCTTCCCATCTAACCTTTCTTCGTCTCTCAGGTACATGTATGTCCAATCGGCAAGAAAAATAATTCCGGCAGACAAAGATGAATACTGGTGTGATGAAGGAGTAAATACAACGAACGAACGGTAGAAATAGATCAGGCAGATCCCCTCGTTTCGCAGAAAAATAAGGGAAACAAGTCCGTACTGATTTTGTGACCCACCGTACGAGGCGAACACCTGAGTGGTCATCGTGCCTCTCAACACACCCCTCGTTGTATTGTATCCCCAACAGCAGTAACAACCGACCAGCACAGTAGCACCATGCATTAATTCCTTACTTCCTAGAAACTACTGAAACGGCACATGTAACGGCACAGCAAACGCTGCATAAGGCATGTGCCTTCGTTGGTAGCGTTGGGAGGGGTGCGTGCTGCTAGCTCCGCGAGGCTGTGCACTGTAGCTGTGCACGAGAGAGGGTATGATATGCTGCGAAACCTTCGTCACTTCTTCGGAGACCGGCCTTATATTATCGGGGGCAGGCGGGGGGCTATATCAGGCCTTATATTGGGCAGGCGGCCTTATTGCGGGCCCCTACTGTATCATTTACTGAAGATAAATTACAGTCTCGGTCTCATGAGACGTTCTCATGAGATTCTCATGATGTTTAGTAAGAGGGCGTAGACGAAGTGGAAGAGAACAACACAACGAAATTGATGTACATAGTAAAGAGTCTCATGAGAAAACAATAAGCACGCTCGTGTCATGAGGGAGTCAGGTGTACATCAGCAGCAATGTACAGTAGCGCTTGTGCAAATACGATGCTTCAGCCACCCTATGATGGGGACTGATGAGGGCTAGGGTATATCTCAAAAGATACCTGAATCATTGCGGAAATTAAGAAGCACAGTCAGGACAGGACAACATAGCCCAGGAACACGCGACTGCTTACTTCTTGATGTTCAATAGTCTGTTTCGGACAGACACCAAGGTATGTAGCCGGAATCAAACATGGGCGGAAAGTGGGGGCTGCCACTCAAACATGAGAATGTTAGTACGATCGACTATAAAGCACAACGGAGTCCTCACATGGCGGACATCCTCAACAGATTCGGCACGTCCCATTGGGTTTGGGCACCGGCACAATCCGTGAGCACCCCGTAAAGTTGGAAAACCGGTAGGTTCCCATTTTGAGTCCTCGATGGAGCTGTGTCATGAGGATGTCCGCCATGTGAGAACTCCACCGTATAGGCGATCGGAGACACATTCTCATCTTTGAGTGGCAGCCCCACTTTCCGCCCATGGTTGATTCCGACTAATTTTAGTGTCTTTCGGGAACAGACTCTTGATGAAGAAGTTGGAGCAGTCTCTCGCGTGTTCCTGCGCTCAGCTGTCCGATCCTTGCTCTGCCCACGTTCACCGCTGAATCCTTACTCACCTGACTTTGCCCCGGGTCTGGTTCTATTCTCCTGGGCTCGGCGACGGTCTTTTCTGGTTTAGGTTCTTTCAGTAGCAGTATGCGTTCCACATCATCGCAATTCACCGCTACCGCCCGAGCGACTTGTGTTGACTTTGTGATGGTTGCGGGCGATTGTGATTTGTTGACCACCTTGATCTTCATCCGGCGGCCCGGGCTCCACCACTGGACTCCCTTGGAGATGCCGAGCGTCGCCCCCCCTTCCCGTTCGAAGGGCTCAATCGGAAAGACCAACACTAGAGTTTTGGCATTCGGTATCAGTCCCTTGACTCGTGCGTCCACGCTCTACACTCACACTGCCTGGCACCTGCGTCTCCCGGTCGACGTAGATGGGCCATTGTAGAGTTCCCTCATCTTCCCACGCCGTGGATCCTAAGTCTAGAGCTTCGATTGCCAGGACTTCAGACGGTTGGGAGTTCTTGACCTCTTCCTCCTCTGGCCTCCACTCTGTGGTGTAAAACGCGTGTCTTGACGCGTCCTATTCCTCCGGTTCGATGTCGTGTCCATGTTGAGATTTAGCTTGCCCTCTCTGAGGCTCCAGTTATGGCAGTAATGGTGTTCTGGACGACGTGGGCGACGGTCGAAGCCATCCTGGTCCCGTACCTCCGAAGTCGAGTGTGCTCCGGTATCGACGCATGAAGGACCATGCCCAAGATGAGGCCTACCGGGAGTCCTTCCACCACCCTTACTCTCACGCCGAAAGTCTCGTCGATCGATGGGAATACCAAAAAAAGCACACACAGTCCCCACGATTGTTAGCGGGGGCACGTAGCAGTCGCTCGGGTTGGCTTCTCTCAATCGACCTCTTCCCTTCTTAGACACCATGTTCTTTCCTCCATACTGCCTCCTCTCCACGCCTTGGATAAATGCCGAGGACGCATAGTGGCCTCCCCCCGCTCCAGAATCGACTAGAACATTAACGGTTTGACTCCGATGGCACGTTCGCTTGTCCCGAAGGTGTGCTGGTACCCAGGCTTGTTTTGATGCCCTTGATGATGGAAACATCATACTAATGGGAATCACAATGGCAATCTCGGCCTCCTTCTGTGTGTTGCCGAGTTCCCGCGTGTGATGAACATCTCGTGTGTTCTCCAGGAGACTCTCTCCCAGGGCTCACTCTCCCGGTTGATCCTCCGTAGTCGCCTCCTCCGGGTACTCGTACAGGAATTGGTCCCCTCAATGGTGGCGAGTTCCATCGCTGCTGCCATCTTCTTCTGCTTGGCATACATTCCGCACTGCACGTGTTCGTGACTGCAAACTGCAAACAGGTCTTGGAGTCCATGATGTAACGTTTGGTGGCGCCCTCCGAAGCGCCCGGTCTCGGCGCATCCTCCGGAAGCTTCCTCCCAAGCACCCGACGCTGCGTCCTTTTGTTACTGCTCCCGCTTCCCGTCGTCACTCCCGCCAAGAAGATGTGTCCCCTCTGCCGCTGAATGCTTCGGCGGTGCGTGTGGTCCAGACGACGAGATTCCGACGCATGCTGGGTCTCCTGTCCTTCCTAGTGCCTTTTCCTCAATTCTTGGTCTTCCACGATGGAGGTCTCCGAGCGTCCCCCCCCCCCACGACCATTAGGTGTGCACGATGAAGTGCGCCACCCGTTGTTGCCGTGTCATCCAGAGCGCGTAAAGCCGCTGGTTTGACGTGCCTCTCTTGAGGTAGTTGGAAAACTGCGTGGTCGCCTCCTCCGTCTCCCGTGCCGTGGGCGATGCGCTTCTTGATGTTTTCCAAAACGTGATGACGCTGTTTGGGGTCTACCTCATTAATGCTGAACACCGGAGAGTGCGGCTGTGGCCCCTATTGTCCACCCTCCAACCCCGGGTCCGTGCATGGTCCCATCGGAGGTTGAGGCGGTCCTTCGTAAAGAAGACCTGGCTGCTGTTGTTGGTGATGGCCAATGACTCCCCCCCCGCACGAGGTTGAGGGTGGAACCCGTGACCCTGGGAAAGTTGAGGAAAACCTCCAGGTGGGTGGAAGCCTCCTGACTGATTAAAAAACGGTTGGTGGAACCCCCCCCCCAGCTCGTAAAACCCACCGGGGCTGGTGCGGAGGCCAGTCGAAAAGATGCCCCCGTGCTGGTGATGCGAAGGGGATCCTCCTGGCTGGCGAAGGTGTGACCCTCCTTACTGGTGGTGGTGCTGGTTGATGTTCATGTGGTCCGTGTCTTTGATGACAGGTGAAGGCGGTCACGGCTCGGTGCTCCTGTGTCTCCAGTGTGTCGATGTTGGGTTCCCGAGCTTGCCTGTTTATTTGTTCTGTGTGTCCTTTGCGGCCGTCTTTCTGTTTGCGCTGCACGTCTGTTGGTGTTCGCTTGTCATTGTGGTTGGTTGTTTTGTTTGGACTGCTGTTTGGTTTGCGTCGTGTTGTTTTCAAGATTCTCCAAACAATGAATACCGTATCCCATCCGGATCAACAACACACATGTGTGTCACCAGACATGTAGAAACGTGGGATGGTGAAAATCTGGACTCTCGACCTCGCGATTCACAGTCGCACACACAGGGAACGCCCAGCCAAATTCCAACAAGCAAAATAGTGTTCGTTAGAAAACCGCCAGAGTATAGTAGAGACATTGAAGTGACGTGGTGCAACAATATGACAAACACTCTTAGGTGTCGTGTCCAACGACAAGCAAAGCGTCGGTTTGTTATGAAGTGTTCCAACGCGTATAGCACTCCGAGGACCTCCCTGTCATTAGACGACAGTTTTTTTTGCGGTTGTGACAGTCTCTTGCTGGCATACCGCCACTGGTGCCTCCCTGTTTTCCACCTTCTGTGTGACAAGCAAAGCGCCGAGCTAAAGAGGGCCCAACGGGACGACCTATTGTTGAAGCCCATCAGAGAAGCGCTAGAGACGGCGAGGGAGAGACAGCGGACTACGTCCTGGACGATCAAAGTCTCCTGTGGTACGCGCCACGGAGTAAGACACATGTTGTAGCTCCAGCTCGTAAGCTTGTCTCCGGAGTACTGGCTCTGGCACACGACACCTTCGGACACCCGGGTATCGCTCGCACCACGATCATCATTGCGGAGAAGTACCACTGGCCGACGCTGAAGAAGGATGTAAGAGAATATGTGCTCAGATGCCGCACGCGGAAGAGGCCGTGGAGCAAACAACT